TTTGCACCTTTTAGCTGTCATTTTGCACCTTTTAGCTGTCATTTTGCTTGTTTTGGCTGTCATTTTGCTTCTTTTAGCTAGCATGTTGCACCTTTTAGCTCTCATTTTGCTTCTTTTAGCTATAATTTAGCTTCTTTTAGCTGTCATTTTGCTTCTTTTAGCCATCATTTTGCACCTTTTAGCTGTCATTTTGCTCTTATTAGCTACCTTTCAGCTCATTTTAGCTGTCATTTTGCTCCTTTTGGCTATGTTTTAGCTCATTTTGGCTGTCATTTTGCTCCTTGTTGCTTGTAGTTACCATTCTCTTAAACTTTTTTCAGTCACTTTCAGCTTCTTCAGCAAAATTCAGCAAGCTTATTCAGCTCTTAAACATAAATTTAGCACAACATGTATTTTCTCTATTATTATTGTAATTTTAATAATAATAATTATTATTATTGTTGTTGTCAGTGTTTTCTTGTGATCTCAGCTGCTCAGCTGGTTAATTGTGGCGCCGGGGCGGCTGACGTCAAACCATTTGGTTTATTTTTCATTTCTCGAAGCCTTTCTTGTTTTTTACTCTTGACCTCGGTGATTCAGCAGTGACTCTGCTTTTATAACCAGCAGCACTTCCTGTTTTTTTATTGCTATTGTAGTTATTGCAGTTCTGCTTGGAGATGCTGATTAACCTCCACGTGCAGGACGTGTTTTTGAAGTTTCTGTCTTGGAGTACACATTTAAATTTTCCTCTGCGTGTTCGAAACAGCCGACAGAAAAGCCGAACCTGTTGGTCGAGCTCTGCGCAGCTGAAATGGAGCCTGTTCCTGCTGTTTTGTTCTGGAGACCAGGCGGGCCTTTCTGGCCGCGTTGACCATAAAACCAGCGTGACGTCACCGAGCGAGGCTTTAATGACCCGTGATCCTGCAGGTGCTCAAACACTTGATTATCGTTCAGGTGGAGACACATATTCTGCTTTAATTCACTTTATGGCTTTAATTATAATGTCCCAAAGATGAAATAAAACTGTTGCTTGTTTATTTCTTTAAAGGTTTTTCACATTAAGAGTTTTATTATAGTTTATGTGAAACACAACCATTTTTTCTGGCATAATGTTAAAATAATAAATAAAAAACGTATATAAACATTTATTAATAACAACAATAATGACAGCAAATGTCCTCCCAATCTGGATGTTAATTTTAATCTTAATTTCCTGCTAATAAGACCGAAGAGACTAAAAACTAAAGTTATTTTCCTGATTTTGCTGTATTATTTTAAAATAAATAAATAAAACTCATATTTTCACAGTTAATAAACTGATGCTGTGTGTGTACCAAAACAAACAAACAAACAAACAAACAAACAAACATCTGACGAGTTCATTACTGCACTGGAGACTATAAGAAGTATAAAAATAAAGACATTTATTCTGACAAACTAAACATATTTATTGCAGATAAAAGCCCAGAGTCTGTTTTACCAGAACACGTTCTGCAGGACAAAACCGTGCACGGTTCTGGACTGAGGAACGGATCAAACGCTTATCGTTCCTTTACTTCACACCTTTGTAACTAACTAATTAACTACGACAGAATTAAAACTAATTAACTACGACTGAATTAAAACTAATTAACTACGACGGAATTAAAACTAATTAACTACGACTGAATTAAAACTAACTAATTAACTACAACAGAGTTAAAACTAATTAACTACGACATAATTAAAACTAATTAACTACGACAGAATTAAAACTAATTAACTACGACTGAATTAAAACTAACTAATTAACTACAACAGAGTTAAAACTAATTAACTACGACATAATTAAAACTAATTAACTACGGCTGAATTAAAACTAATTAACTACGACAGAATTAAAACTAATTAACTACGGCTGAATTAAAACTAATTAACTACGGCTGAATTAAAACTAATTAACTACGACAGAATTAAAACTAATTAACTACGACAGAATTAAAACTAATTAACTACGGCTGAATTAAAACTAATTAACTA